GCGAAGGTGGGAAGATTGCATTAAAGCCGATCTAAAAGGATTAGGTTTAGACGGCGAATGTTGGAGAGAGGTGTGTAATAAGCAATTGGTGGTGTCGGCATTTCCGTGCAAATCGGTAGAACCATCCAGAAGTTAAAACAATTTTTATGTTTGTCGACAAAATTTCAAAGGATCCAGTCTAGGAAAAAAATTTAAAAGAAAATATTTACTCTAGATACAAAGCCTGTTTTGAAAAAATATTATATGTCGCAGATAGCTAAAATATGGGAACAATTTGGACCAATCGACATACCAATGTGGGAGTAAATATATTTGTAGTTAGAAATAAAATTGTTATTTGTTTTTAGCACCTCAACAAATTTTGGATCTATAAAAAATTCATATTAAGACTTTTAAAGGCTTCTGAAAATGAGTCTAACTTGCATTTTCATTACAAAAATTTACTTAGCCTACTTTACTGGAAGCGCCATTTAGTTTTTGTAATTTATGATACATTATAACTCATTTAATACCATAGTCAATATTTTTTTTCTTATTCTGCACAAAAAATTAAATTGATTAATATAAAATAACCTAAAAGTTTGGGAAAAGCAAAAGGAAACATAAATAACATCAATTTTGTTTGAAATTATATAAAATATTTTTTCTTGGCTCCTATGGCCCATTGGGCGTGGAATGCCAGGACGTGTGTAATATTCTTTAATGTAGTACCTCAAAGAAGCTGCTCAGCATAGAACCAGGTGGAAAAAGAAGAGGGAAAACCGAAGATGGAGTTAGTGACGATACCAGAATTCTTGGAATACGAAACTGGTGGACAGCTCTCAGGAAAGAAAAGTGGAAGATGACTTCCATAGACAGCCAAGATAATGTAATAGATTGTAGAGCTGGAGATAATGCATGAAAATATAAAATAATAATAAACAAGCAATTTCAATTTTTCTAGTTTCTAAAACATAAATTTATCTAATAATATTAGAACCTTGAATAAGTTCTCACTGTTTCCTAATAGATGACAGCACCAATACCATGTGTGTTCATTTCAGATGGTAAAGCACTTTTCCAAGAACTAATGTCGGTAAGCTTAGTGTAAACGATTTTTTTTCATAGTTCTGAAAATGTCGAGAGTAACGAGTATTGGCAGAGGATTTTATTGCACTCTTTTATTTATAAGTAATCTGGAGCTCAAGCATACAGAATTCATATTTAGACATATGGTGAGAAAGCTATGTTGGAAATAAAATGTTGAGACTGATTTCGGTACTTTAAAAATAATGACTTTCATCTTGGAGATAAAGAATACTCTGAAACTCTGAAACAGTTTGAAGATGAAGAATCGGAGAAATTACTTAATGAAGACTCATGTCTGACACCAGCTGAACCTGGAAAATCATTACTAGTAGATGACACAATGGTTTCGAAATGTTTAAAGCATTAGGAGTGATACAGAAGCAAGGGCATCGAAAGACATGTGAACTGCTGCTTCATCGGCAAAACAGGAAGTTTTTTTAATCCTATCATGAGTTGCGATAAAAAATATATACAGTGTATAGCATGACAACACAGGACCAAAACGGGTATTGAAGTAAAAAGCTAACTGGAAATGCTTAAATGGAAGTCCTGCCCCACCCGCTGTAATCACCTAATCAAGAGCCCATTCCGATTATTACTTATTTTGTTCGATAACAAATGGCCTGGTGGCTGAGCAGCGCTACCATTCTTATGAAAATACCAACAAAAAAAATCCTCATAAAGTTTTTTTTTATTATAATATATGTGTATATATTCATATAAGTAAAAATCAAATAGATAACAAATATCCCATTAGTAATATCCTTCCAAACAATTTTTTTCCTAATGACTGACATTCTAAATATTTTGTCACATAATTACTATTTGTGAAATAAAAATAAATGTAAAATAATGGCAATCTATACTATTTACTTCAGCATATTTTAATATCAAACTATTTTAATGCATGTTATAAATTAAACAGGCCCTTCAAAATAACCATTATCATTAATAAATTTTAACTCGTGGATATTCAACTAAAAAAAAAAAAAAACACTAATACTTCTTTGTAGATGTAACTGTTTTGTTTATTTCTAGCCATATCTAAACACTACGTTTAGATTTAAGATAATTATGAGTTTTTGTTAATTAAAGTAATAATAAATAATAGAAAATAATTAATGGTTTAGTATTTCACAAGCTATTACATTGGTGTTTTTTATATACCTGGTTTTTTAAATAACATATAGGGTGTCTACCAATGTTGGTGATTGAAATTCCCGACTTTTTCGGAAAATTCCAGAGTAATGACATTTTTATACCCATACAATACTAAATCAATGTGAAACCAGAAATTTCTACTACTTTTTTACTTTATGCATGCCTGTAAACTAGAGTAGAATTTAATTAATAAATTTTAATGTATTTAATCAGTTACTGAATCAATCCATAAGAAGCGGTCCAATAGGGGTCCCTCAACCGTTTTAATAAGGTTGAACGATTATTTTGTTGAAAATTTAAAAAAAAAATACTGAACCTATATATAGGCTATATCATACAAAACTATAAATGGAGAAAATTGCAACTAACTCCCTTTTCTCAGATTTTGGGCATATAATTTACTATAAAATGTAATATATCATGAAAATTTGTGCCAGAAAGTTTTTATACGCATAAGACATGAAGTTTTCTTTTCGTGCATTTTCTTGGGAATGTACTACATAGTTCTATGAGATATACTTAATACAAGAGATGCATTCATCTCAACATATATGGAAACAAAAATAAAGCTAAGCCAAATTTCCTATTTATAACCTCAGAAACCATAAGAGCTTCATTCCATACACGCCTGCACTTAGGAAATATTGAGGAGGTTAAGGTACGTGTAAAAATCTAACAGTGCTCAATGCATGAGATGGAGGTGTAAATGACTGCAAAATATTGGAGGGGCTGAAGTGCAGAAAGTGCTGCTTCTTTGTTCGAATAATTGTTCCTTTTTTAGTTTTAAGCTAACAAAAAAGGTTAATAAATACTATTACGAATAAATAATTATACAGATGTAATATGAAATTTAGAAAATTACATTTTATTTTGAAATTGTAAGTATTCACATAATAAATAGTTTATAAAAACAATTTCATACTTAGTTAGTTCCCTTGATAGTTGTAGAATTATAATTTGTACGCATTTGTTTTTTTGTAGCATGGACTATTGAAAATGATTTCTTTTCTAAAAAATAAATAATAATAATAACAATAAACAAAAAAATAAAGATTCCAGACCTAGATAAAAATTTTGAGAAAACAATTATTATTTACTGATTGCTGTAAAAATTTGTATTCAAGGATTTTTCGTGTTGTGAAATATGAATATCAACTTTTTAAAAATGATTTAATGGGATCCAGATACTATTGTGTATAAAATGCACAATACATGCCTAGTTTTTATTTACATACCAAATTGGGATAACATACCAGGCATTTATGCTTTCGATTTTTTTTTTTTCTTTCGGAAAATTATAATATAAATATTGATAACTTCACTAAAAGACTCTACCCAAACAAATAAAATAGCTGAGAATTATGGCTCTATAAGGAGCATGAAATGGCACAAACAAGATCCACATAAACACATCAGAAATAAAAAAAAATAAAATAAACAATGTTTGCATTTTTCTTTATTCATTCCTTATATATAAAGGGTTCAAATCTATAAGTAATTGATAGGGGAAACAAGAGTATTAATTTAGCTTTCAATTATTTCCGGTTGTATGTTGAATTTGTAGAAAATTTTGATTTTGTAATTTCTCATACATTTGTTGAATTTATTGGATATAATCTGCAATTTTTTTTTTTTTTTGTTTACACAAAACAAAAATTTTATATTATAATCTAGAAATTGATACGCGAAAAAAATATTAAAAAAATTAAATTAAATATGATCATTTTGTTCAATAATAAATTTTGTCTTAGCTCCTAAAGCACATTGGTAAGAACACCCGAACAGGTAGTCAACCTAATATCACCAAAAGATATTCATTAATAACAGAATCACTAAAATTCCTCTTTGAAGTAATAAGTTTTCTTATTTTTTAGTTTAAAAGAACAATGTCAGAATTTTTTAATAGGTTTCAGTCATTATTAATTTAATTTTGAATTTCTTAATTTTTTTTTATTTTCTTATATCTAATAAACCTTTTTAGTAATTCATTCGATATTGATTTTCTTCCAACATTTTTCATTTTTTTAATGCTTAATTAGTTTAATTTACTTTTATTTCTAGTTTCTAATAACATTTTGTAAAATAAAATTTGTTAAAAAGTATCAATGTTAATAAATTAATACTTTTTTTGTATGATATGGATTATTTCACGGATTAAAATTACCAAGGCCTGAAATTTCGATATATGATTTATTATTTTGATATATTTGAAATATTGATATTTTTATTCCTACGGCTGACTCAGACAGATCAAATGCACAATTGACTTACGTGACACTAACACTAATCAATAGATAGTTTAAAATTTCTATTTTAATTTCTAATTAAAATGCCTAAATAAAACGATCGTTTTTATTTACATAATCAGCGCACAATTTAACAATTGTAACTCAAGAAGAAAAAAAGGTACTGTAAACTACTACTAACCAACAGCAACAATAAAATAAGTAAAGTAGTAATACAATGAACAATGACCGGAACGAACAATGGAAGAACTTCTAATTACTATTACAATGATTACCTATTAATTAAATTTAATTGTCTGGCTGAAAATTAAAGTATACACGGCTAAAATTATAATCAAATATAAATCGCCTAAATTTAGAACATATGACTACTTTAAAAAAAGTTACATGGAATTTCCGACTTTCTGACCTCACATAACTCCCAACATATTCTCAGTTAGTAGACACCCTGTATATAATAAGATAAATCTAAAGAGTTAGTTGTAATAACTAAGTAAGTAATAAATGGCTTAGAATTTCACAAACCATTCCATTTGTAGTTTTTCTTAAAGAACGATACATGCCAATAGACAAGGTATAAAGCTGAATTTTTCTACTGGATGAATAAGTAATATTACGGTGAGGCATAATATACTCATCAAAAGTAGAAGTCTTGTGACGGGCGCTTAAATGGCACATCTCATCTAAAAGATAACGACCAGTGGTATCAATTTCCCAAGTAAGAAAATTTAAGTCTAACTGCTTTGCAGCCATCTAGAAACCAAATAAAGGAATCACAAAATTATTAAATAATATTAAGCCTGAAAAATTTGTCATAACATTTTGATTAATAAAATAATTATACACAACACTTGAATAAATGATAAAATTAATATTAGAAGAAACAATGTGAAACCGAAATTTGGTAATTAAAATTCCTTCAATAAATAAATGTACACACACGCATGCTTTTATCTTATCTATCTGACCTCCACTAACAAGTATTGCTAGGAGGGAAGAGTTGGAGGTTCGTTTACCTCTTGAAATAGCATAACTATCTGAGCTATAGCTTTGAACTACATAAAGCAATAATTATTACCACATTTATTTAAAAGAACTAAAATAAACCAAAAATAATAAATGCTCTAACAAACATTAATATTATCTATCCAACATCAAAGGCCATCGATAACATTTTTTTTTTTTAATCTAAAAACTGAAGAAATTTAATAAATTATGACATATAAACTTAATGATTTTAAATAAATTAGTAATACTTAAACATATGAGTTGCTAGGTTTTTGAATAATAAGCTACAAATTTCAGTATAATTATTTGATAATGAAAGCAATAAATATTTCTCTGGTACCAGAGTGGAATTAGTGTAATCTTTTATCAAACATATCCTCAAACTGTAAATATTAATCACTCCTTGGGATTGAAAAGATAACTTAAGCACATTTTACGGACTCTTTCTCTCTGTTCTATATTAGTTTTGAATAAATACATTCATTTAAATTTGTTTAAACATTTTTGTATGCAGCAGTTTTTGTTCATGAAATAGTTCAGGACAAATTCCTGGCAAACAGAAGAGAATTGTTCGAAGAGAAATCGATCGATGTTCTTACTTAAACGAAAGGAGATTTTTTATAAAGGCACATTACACATGGGCTTGAGCGGTCACAATTCGTGAATTCCAGGGCGTTATTGGGAATGAGAGACTTTTCATGGCATATTAGGAGACGAGGGCAAGGTAGTCCACAGTCAACTTTCCGTCGTGACAGATTTTTACGAATTCATGCTCTTTGAGATGGCCATTTTACAGAAAACAGTCTGCGTTGGCTCCTCCAGCAGTCCAGGAGTGTACAAATTTTAAATCACACAATGAGAAGACAACTTAGCGGGTACAGATTGACATCCCATTCTCAAACAACTGGACCGCTGCTTTGAGGTACAAAAGGGGAATCCTAGAGCCACGTGTGATACCTTTTACCAGAAATGTAAGGAGACAAATTCATCTTAATGTATGACAATAGCTAAACTCATGTAGCTCAGTTGGTGGAAAATTACATCCGGCAAAAAGAGATCAAGATTATCACTGGGCCACTCAGAAGTCCGGACAAAAGACAGATTTGGGAGACGGCACTGCACTCGAGACCATCAAAATTTGGCCAATTAAAGAAGAATTTTAATGGAAGAGTGGAACACCATCCAAGAAGTTGTAAGCAACTTGGTCAGTGGAATGAACACAAGAATGCTGGCAGTGATCAAGGCTAGAGCAGGAAAACCTTACTACTGATTTAATTCAATAATCTGTATTTCTCTTTTTGTTTAATACAAATTCTGAAAAATGTATTTTGTTCTTCTTTTCTTGATTTATTTGCTCTTTTAATAAACTATTCTATCATACTTAAAAATAATCCTTTTAAATATATCCATTAAAATTCAATGAATTAAAAATATTGAAGTGATCCTTCAATTTTGTATGGTAGTTTATAATAATGAACAACATGCCAATTGATACATTTTTTAATAAATAACAAGTTTATAGAGAAATGTTATAGTGGAGATTCGCCCGTTTTTCAAAAATGCGTGAAACGGGAATGAGTGGTTGGGAAAATAGCTGATGTCATAACATTTGGCAACATTTGACTGTTTTAGACATTCGATGAATAAGTGTGAACGAAGCGATTGTAAACCATGCAAAATCTGTGAGGAATGCACATGAATTAGTACCAAAATATATATAAATTAGAGCATAAACAGACTTATATATGATTTCTGTTTATAGATATAAAAACAATATATAATATATACAATATGAACAATATACTATGAACAATATAACAAGGCAAAATGTTGATCAGCTGTAGAAGCCATTACATTAATTATTCCAAGTAAATAAATATAATTTTTTATTATTCCTACCGCCAATAACTAAAAAATAACAATAAATACGAATTCATTAAAATTAATTAATTGAAATATTGCTAATGTAATAACAAAAATTGATATAATTATTTACATGTGATTTATTAATGAAGTTAAAAAGGGAGCCAGACTTATTATTATTCCTAAAATCTTAACATATCTAATCTTTTTATTTCGATTAGCTCCAAACTCACCAAATCTGGCATGCAAGGAAGTGGTACTACAAATAAAACCAAACTCATTCTAACCAGAATAAGAAAGTTGATTTATTCTGTGGATCTATCACGAACATACCTGATCTACGCCCACTTCTAATATAATCCATTTCCATTTACCTAATCTTGGTGCTGTCAAAGTCAGCAACCATATAGTTTATAGATGCTCCTACCACAAGTATGTCATTGTATATTAACATGCCTGTCAATACTTAGCTACTTCAAGCACTAAATATACAGTGGGACCTAGGACCTGGTGCCCACTTACTATGTTGAAGTGACCTATGGGACTTGTACTCTTTGTATTTATGTTCAAAATTCAAGATACAATATTAATCCATTGCAAACATAATAACTTCAGTTGAAATTATAACAGGAAATACATAACAAACACGATAATTTAAATTTGATAAGGACAAGAAAGTTGATGATAAGGAAATGTGACACATTGAAGTAAAATCTTCAAGTGACATTACAAGAAAAAATTATATACATTGGATACTAAAAGTAACTTTGTTGATCCTACATCAATGCTCCTATGCTGATTTAGTTAGAAGCAACACGTTGAGTAAAAATTTTAATTTTATGAAGAAAACAGTAACAAAACAAAAGGTTGGAAGGAGTAATGAATAACATACGATAATAATAGTATTAAATATATTAACAAAATTAGATGTAAGGCATGAAACACAGATAAAAGGAATAACATCACTTAAAATAAGTTTATTCTTTAGAAAAAAAAAATATGCTTACTTTAATCACTAAGTTTACCACTATCAGAAACACGCTTCCTAGTCTAACCACCTTTTCGAATTTGACTTGACTGAAAGTAAGAAAATCGAAATTCGAAACAAAGAGAAAGAAACAGAAACTTTAAGATAGAATAAATAACTCTAATTTGTCTGGGGTGTGGTGAGAGTTCACTGAGGCTCAGTAAAACCAGTAGGATTCTATTATTAAAGCCTTATAGGTCGTTAAAAATTGAATTGTAACATATCATTAGATGTGATAATAATAATAAAAGGCTTAGTAAACCCCAAGGTTCGTTGCTGATACAATACACGCTATTAGTCCGGAATCTACCGAAGATTTAACCACGTGATCAGAAGCAGAAGGTTTGAAAACATTGAAAACAGTAGAGATTATAACCCTAATGCCAAAACTCCTCGAATCAGGCGGCTAACTGGAAGCGTTTGGCTGTGGTAGAATTTCAAAAACTGCCAAAAATTTCGTGATCAGCTGCAGGAAAAAAACCAATTGGAATAGTTTCAGAAAACTCAGTAGATGACATATTTATAAAAGTCAGACATTTTTGAAGCGTTATACGAATCTGACAACTTTAAAAATCACAAAAAGTGCCAAAAATTACGTGATCAGCAGCAGGCAAAAAACCAATTGGAATAGTTTTTATACCACTTAGTAGGTAACTAATTTGATCAAATTTGACAACATTTTGGAAACTTTTCATAAATTTGAGAAGCAAATAGTTTCAGACTCTTTTGTAGGAATCTGATTTAATAAAATCTGACCAATACTTAGAAACCTAGCACTTATTACGGGCGGGGCAGTATAACACAAAATTGGGATCCATTGGTCCAAGAGTTTTCCATGTTGCCTATTTCAGCCTCTCTATTAGGTTTATAAAAAATTTTGGTCGATTTGATAAACCAAAATTCCAAATTAATGACACAAAAATCCATGTTATTATTTAACCATTAACTATACTATGTGTTAAGAAAATGTTATATGCCTGATGCTGATGGCATATTTTTTGGTAAATTTGCAGGTCAGATTCGTGAAAAGCTTTCAAAAAACTTATTCAGATTTTATAAAATAACAATAATAAAATTACTGTGCTCTGAAAGTATTCTAACTGATTTTTCCTGCTGATGAGCATGTAATTTCTGGGATTTTTTGAAATTTTTAAAGCTGTCAGATTCGTATAAAGCTTCCAAAATTTTTTTTGACTTTTATAAATCTGTCATCTACTGAAGTGTCTGAAACTATTCCAATTGGTTTTTTTCTACTACTGATCACGTAATTTTTGGCAGTTTTTCCGATTTTTGAAATTTTACCATAGCCAAACGCTTCCAGTTAGCCGTGTAATTCGAGGAGTTTTGGCATTAGGGTTATAGTATCTACTGTTTTCAATTTTCAAACCTTCTGTCGCTGATCACGTGGTTAAATCTTCGGTAGATCCTGGATTATATCTACATACTTCCAATCACTGACCACCGCACAGTGGGACTAGTGAGGAAAAACTGGCGACATCGACTAAAATTATTTTGTTTTTTTAGAACTCCAAAAACTAGATAAACTGTTTTATTAATACCTTCTGGAATTCGTGAGAATTTTTTCAGTTGATAGAATATACATTTTTCACTGGGTTTTTTTTGGTACTTCTTAAATAGCCGGGCGGGAAGAAACCGCCCTTGTTATCTAATGTTACATCACATAACCTCCCTTCTTATCTCGTGTAAGCTGTGAGTTATTTCATTGTTTATTTTTTGTTCCTCCTGTAAGCTGTGAGTTATTCCATTACTTATTTTTGTTCCTCGTATAAGCAGTGAGTTATTCCATCGTTTATTTTTGTTCCATTAGTGTGGTTTTAGTCAAATTATGAATGTTATTACATTCTGGGAATTACCGTCTTCAGAAAAGTTGTATATATATATATATATATATATATATAAACAGGAATTTCTCAAACTTCAAGACAGACTAGGTGACTCTAATTTTATTTACACTTCCGGCTCGAACAGCCCCGCAGGCGTGGGAGCATCAGTTATATGTAACGAACGACAACGTATTTTTTCTCGGTCACCATTATGTAATCATTATACTGCTGAATTGGTTACAATACATAAAAGTTTATATGTTATACAACTCACTTAACAAAAAATGGTCATCTGCACAGATTTTCTATCCGCCTTAATTAATCTAAAAAATATTTTCTTATCTAATGTCATCATACAAAATATTCTGTACCCAATAAAATCCGCAAATAGAAATAATATATCAGTAGGTTTTGTCTGGGTCCCTGGGCATTGCGGAATAGCCGGTAATGAACTGGTCGAGCTGTCAAAAAAGCAATTACCAATGGAATACGTTATCGGGAGAGAACCTGCCGAGGAGTTTATAACCACCGTCAAACAGAAAATGGAGACAAAATGGAAACAGATATGGTCGAATGTAACTGAAAATAAATTGAGTGACATTAAGGGTAACGTTCCCTCTTGGGTATCGTCAAATAGGAATAAGCGCAGGGAGGAAGTAATCTTACGCGCTCGCGCATAGGTCATACTCGCCTTACCCATGGATATCTCATGGCCCCTGATTATTCGCCAACGTGCCAAAATTGTGGGACTGCTCTGACAATGAAATACATTTCAACAGAATGTAGAGCTTACGAAACACTTAAACTATTTTGTGACTTGACAAACGATCTGCACATCATTTAACAGAGCAATATGAATGAAATTGACAAACTGTTTTCTTTTCTGAAATGTTCAAAACTTGAAAATAGAATTTAATTCTCAATGAAAATAAGATGATAATGTTTATAAAAAAAAAAAAAAGCTTTACTAAGTACGAATACTTCTGACACTTGTGTACCTCAGCGAGCAAACTGGACGTATTCTATTTATTTATTGATATGAACTATACAATTTAACCTCTTTGGCTTGTTTTGTATCACACTGTAGTTCATGGCCGTTACGTTCGGCTAAAACATTTGTAATGGCTGAAAATAGTTTTTATTTAAATATGTATCACTGTCTTGTAAGCCGAACTTGGTGTCCATTTCTTTTAAAAGGCAGTAAGAAGCTTGACAGGAATGTTTTTTAACCTGTTTAATTATAAACAGGTTACGAAAATTTTTTTACAACCAATTTCATTTTTGTTGTATGATATTTTACATCAATCTGACAACCTATTTTATTTATTATATACGCCTTATTAGGTTACTGACTAATGTTTTTAAATATTACTAAACGTTGATTAGATAAGGCCTGTAGGATTGTGTTTTTGGATTTCAATTTGTTATTGGTAAATACTATCTTTAATGGTCATGCCTGTTTTTAATAGTATTCAACAGATTCTTAACTTGTTTTGAAAATTATTAATAGTTGGTGAAAATTATTTTTTGACATTTTAGTAGTAGTTCACAAGCATCATGAGTGATGGGTCAAGATCAAATTGTACCTAAAACCCAAAACTACAAGGGGATCTCCAGGACTTACTTATAATCAAATTATGGAAGGGTGATAAAAGGTGATGAAACAATAGGATCCCTCACATGTAAGAAGGACCCCTGTCTGGTAAGGCCAATATCTTATCGCAAGAGAACCCTACCTTCAGCTATGAGCACACTTTTAGCTCGTCTCAGGTTATTTTATTTATTTTTATTAAATGCGAGTTGTAGCCAGGTTACTATATATAATATTTAAAAAGAGAATGTAAATGGAGAGACATAATAATACAGATAAAGCATAAAAATCTAGTACATTAAATGTTATTAATTGTACAGTTTTCTTATATTAGAATTATACATTTTTGGATTATAATTAAAAATCAGCTAGAAGCAATACAAGTTATAACCGAGTATAAAATACATTGAATGCAGTGCTAACAAAACTGCTATTCAATTTTGTATATATATTTTTTTAACTACCAAAGAGAGATTAAAAAAAAATGTGATGATATTATACAGGTGAATGAATTATTTTCAAATAATTAAATATATTTTCGTGAATTTTATCTTGTCTTTATAATCTTTTTAAATATACATATATTTAACTAAAAAATTGTAAAATATTTGAATTTATAACTCGTCGATCTTCAGCATGGCTGGGAAAACAATATTTATGATTGAAGAAAAAATAAACTACTATGATTCAAATAAATTACTTTTTATTATAAATCACACTATACAGAAAGGATTTTTTTTTTTTTAGCTTCTTGAAGCTATGTAAAGAAATTAAATCTTCCTCTGGAGGTAATTTTTTTACTACTTATATTTTCCGCTTACATATTCAACGCTTCTTCGGTGCTGTGTTCCATCTTCAGTAATTATTTTATTGTATCTACAATATAATTTCATTATTATAACAAATATATCTACTTATATTATAAGTAGATAAGATAATGCTTGTGTTATATAAGTGGACAAGATAATACTTATCTTATAAGTGGACAAGATAACAATTATCTTATAAGTGGACAAGATAACACCTATCTTATAAGTGGACAAGATAACACTTATCTTATAAGTGGACAAGATAACACTTATCTTATAAGTGGACAAGATAACACTTATCTTATAAGTGGATAAGATAACTCTTATCTTATAAGTTGATGAGATAACACTTATTTTATCAGTGGATATATGTATTGTAATAATGATAATGTATTGTCCAGTATTACTGAAGATGGGGCAGTGCACCAAAAGATTCGATATGTACCTCTTATGTATATGTAAACTCTAATTTGCAAGATTAGTCCTAACTCAATTCTCCTACTAACGTTTTGTTCTTTAATGCTACACTTCAAATTACCATAAATAGTCATGAATCTCCCTAAGATAAAATTCTTTTTATCTGGAAGTAATCTTGTCCCATTCTAACACCTGTTATAAAGTTACTAAATGCTTATTAATTTTTATCTAAGTGATTTAACCTAACATTGCCCCCAAAAAGTTTTTATTTTGTTTTTATATCTTCATTAAAATATGATTTTTTTTCTATCAAATTAATTTAAGAACTTTTTTTTAATGGAAAAAGCAACCATTGTCAAGTGGTACAAATTTTTTTAAAAAATAATTATTTCTTGAGCGATTCCTCTGATCTTGAT